ATATCCGAGAGGCGCACTACAAAAAAAAAATCTCTTATTTATTCAACAAAATCTTGGACTTGTTGTACCTGAAATTCGAAACTGTTCCAAAGAATACCTTCTTCAGCGATATACTGTATATATACATGCCATAGTAGTGGTGGTACCAAGACCGGATTTCGAGGGAGATATGAAAAGATTGGCATTTTTCTTTTTTTTTTTTTTTTCAGGTTTAGAAGTTTTGCTGTGGGAAGATGTGTTGGTGTTTGAGGGGGGGTGATGTAGTCTACTTAGTGAGCGGTCAGGAGGTTGGTCGCCGTCAATATGGGGGGTCTCCTTGCGGGTACCCAGACCGCGGGTGAACTTGAGGGCTATGTGCTCTACAGATGAGTACCGTTGCAATGTACGGTAATGTGATAGACTCGGTCTGCGTTTTAGTATCCTTAGCAACACCTATGGATACGTACATTTCTTGTAGATCTTCATAGCTTATTACCCATATGGCACACTTAAGTTAACAAGGCCACCACCATTAGGAGCGATCTGCGAACCAAAGATGCCATGTGTGAGCGATACTTGTAACAGGAACCTTAAAAATGTGGCACGAGCGCACGTGGTTGTTGATCGCGGGATGGCAGTTGATGCACGGTCGCCGCCACGTGGTTGACGAACATGTCACCGCTACAATTTCGTGGAATGCTCACCCAAACTACGTATGCATGCGGCGGGGCAAGATTCAAAGTACTTACGCCTCATAGTCGCATTTCACCGCACAGGAAAAAAAAATTCGCACACTTCAACTTGAATGCCCTTAAGATTATAGTCTCATACCAACTCCCCAAAGAACATGAAATAAAATAATAACAATAATGGCCGTAATGGAAAAGAGAATACTTTCGAATTTGACTATTCCCCTGTCCGCTCTTGCACACATGGATTCCCCGCCATCGTCGTTCTAGATCAGCGCCCGCGCCCGCGTCGCCGCGCTCATTTCCAGTACTTGCGCTATCGTCTCCTCGGGGTATAAAGAGTACCGAAGTTACATACATAGAAAGATATAGAATATAAGCAAAACAAAACGTTTTGGTGAGCCAGCCGCGCTGCAAATCAAGTATAGATGCCACCACTAATACTGTATGCCTGTTTCTCTCCGTATTTAATCATGATTCGGGAATATGAACTCAAATTGTGCCTCCTTCAAGAAAAACAAAAATTATTGTAGCCAGGGAATACCGTCCTCATTGTATTATGGTTCCATGGCCAGAAGCCCCCTCCTAGCAGACTTATTGGAGTGATTTTTCGGACTGGAATGTGATCGTTGCACACGCCTCGAACGGCAGGGCAGAGTAGGCTGTGGGCAGTAGCTATCGGTATGAACTGTATTATAATGCAATAATCCGAGGTACCAGGGATGACCATCGCGCACCACAATGTTGTAATGTATGGGCAGGAGATCGAGGTACTTCACTTGAATCTTCGCCTCACCCTCCCCGGTTCCCTTCCGGAGCTTGACATTGTCGAAATATCCTATAGCACGTACAAGAACACCTGTACGGTTTGGGGTGACTTTCGGCTTCGTAACATGCTCCATTCCAGATGGAGACACCTCATCAAGGTCCCGGGGACAAGAGATGACCCAATGTGAATCCGGGGCGGCATATGAAATTGAAATAGAAGCTCTAGTTTAAGCCGATGTTCGAGATTGCGTACCAGGTTCATCCACGCAACCTCAGGTTTTTCTTCGGCTGAATAAGCTGGCATGTGTTTTAAATTCAGCAAATAACCAAGCCCGCTTATCTTGTCAAGTGGGTTGACAGAGCTCCGTCGATCCATTTCCTGTAAGACAGGTAGGACTAGGCTTCCGGCAATTGCGATACCTTCCAATCCGAAAGTTGCGGCAATTAGTATTTGGTAAAAAAATGTTTGGGAATAAAAACATGAGCTCACAGTTCTTCTGGATGGCGTCGCGTAGCTGTTGTGAGAAAACCCATCAGCATTGATATATAAGATCACTATTTGTAGACAGTGGCACCGTGAAATTTGTTGACTTACTGCTCCCGTTACTTCCTGCATTGAATATGAGTCCTGAGGGGCGCGAATTTCCTGCAACGTCCATGCGCGATTGAGCTAATGCTTGGGTTTTCCAAGCCTGTTGTTTTCAATGGCTGTCCAAGGCCATTGAAATAGTAAACAACCTTGACAGCTTGCTTGTATACATTTCCAATTGTCGGAACGTCAATCTTGAGCTCCCTCCTGACCAGATCGTTCTTCGCGCCCATTTGGCGAAGACAAAGTACGCCAAGCTAGCAATATTCTGCCCCACATGAACGATGGGTTACTCCCTTCAGAAGGGGAATACCCCACTCATACTGGTTGACGGGAGATTGAACCGCCTATCGTTCATCTTCAGCGACCCAGCTATGAGAGATTGCCCAAAAAACTACCTTGGATTGCCATATAGGATTACCCCCACCGTTCGGGATAAGGAAGCTAAGATCGGTCGTAATTATTACTGCAGTCAGCTCTCGGATGTCTTCAAACGTTGGTAACCGGCACCGGTGGCTGTTGACAAAATCCCACGAAAGGCTCATATTATTTTTCCAGATGCGTAGGTAGTGGTTAGCATATGTCTGAACCTCGCTCTGCTTTCCCGATCCTCGGCTAGAGATGGAAATCAGCTGAACCCATCTGAAAAAATCACTCTGTTGCTGTAAAGGTCCCATATCCTCCTCCGGTTTACATTACACGGGTCAAGCATATTCTCATGGCCAGAGTCATCTGTCTCAATTATTCCTTCGCCAGGTGTGCGTTCAAAATTGAGAGTGCGAGGAACTGAGACGTTGAAAAAATGCGGTAGTTGTCCGTCCTGCAGGAAACCTGCGTTGTTGAATTAACCTGAAGAAAGCAGCAGCAATACCAAAATCATGATCTTTCTCAATTAGCAGTTCGATACATTCCTTAACACCATCTTTCATGACAAGCTTCTTCTCCGCTGGTTGAGCTCTTCTAACAATTGTGTCGCACCCATATCCTTACAGGAACGGTCAGCCTCTTCTTCCGAGAGCCACCGCTTAGAGATGCATGGGGTCTCCGTAGTCTTTCTTCCCTGCTGGGTAACGCCTGTGACCTGCACTTGCTTCGGGATGGGGCAATTGAAACGCACGTGACATCAACAAGCTTGTAGGTTTGCTAAGAAGAATTCGAATGCTTAGAATCTCGCCGGTGGGCCACCAAGTCGTGAGGTTACGAGCAGGTACGGGGAAATGGAAATTATGTGTTCTGCGCTTCGACTGTGGTGCAAATCCTTTGAAGATATTCGGCAGCTGGTGATGGTTCCTGACACTTTGAACAGCGCGACGCACCACGCACATTTGAACTCCTGATATCAATCAATACTTTTAGACATGGGGTGCCTCACTACGGAGTGACCAAGGGCGTCGCAAGCCAGCTGAAACCAGCAAAAGATACTGGCTTCCTGGCAATGCAATGGGACCCCACTAAAGAAATGATCAGCAACAGGTGGTAATGGTGATTAAGACGACGTTGGGCACGTGGACAGCTGGAATTTCGAATTACCTAGCGACAATTCCATTTAACTTCCGTTTCCTGCTACTTTGCTCACCATGTCCAATGGTTGCTGTAGCTTATGCATGTTGGCTGCATGAGGTTCAGCTGATTGAGGTGTTGGATACTTCTCTAGGGTTTGGTGTAAAGTAGCAGGCAGGGTTGCAGAATATGTGACCTGTATTAATTTAGTAATTGGCTGTCTCTCCAGGCTGGGTACGAGAACAGACGTGCATAGTTGCGCAGGAATTTGGCCAGCGAGGGAAACCACTGCAGGATGTAGAATAATCCGCATAGAAAGACAAAGTATGTGTCGCTCTGAAGTTTCCGCACAATGCTTGGGCCAGGTTACATCTGACCAACCTGTCGTAGGACGGGAATGGTGGTAGGTAGATGTGTAAGAGAGGATGTAAAAACATGTATCAAGCTTGTCTGCAATTGCGCGCAAGGGCGTATCAAAAAAATCATCTGCGATTCAGCGATCGCGACTCATTACCAGCATAAAGTGATGCAACTTCCGAAGCTGTGCACAAGGTCTGTGCAAAGGCCTGTGTAGGGGTATGGTAGGTGTGGGTGAGTGCTCACAAAAGGTGGGGTGAGTTGCTATCAATGTTATTGTATTCGGATTTCAGAATATTGTACTTCATGTTTAATGTAATAATCAACAGAGTAGGAGAGTATATTCTACGTAAGATACTAATATCTGAGTGGATGCCTTTAGTTAGGAATCATTAGTTCTCGTGTGCCAGAGACATGCTTATGTACCTGCCGTGTAACGTAAGCCATTCACCATCTGATGGAGCAATTTCAATAACTTGATACCTTTAGATATTTTCTAGATCAACACGACGTGATTCTTCTAGCTGACTATTTTCTCCAATATTTTTTACGTATTCACCTCTGGCTGTCATACCATTGCACAAACCTTTGCACAGACCTTGCGCACAGCTTCGGAAGTTGCATCACTTTACGCTGGTAACGAGTACTAGAATATTTACGCGGATGGGGTAAATCGAGCTCGGTTCCTTAGATTCTCAGCTAACGGCAAGGAACTTGGCAGAGGGACTTAGTTCTAGTTAACAGAAAACTTACCGGAATACAGTGCGGTTTGGGCACGAGAACACAGTGCGGTTTGTTTAGCGAGATGATGGGGGAAAAAATGCAATTACCGTTTTGGGTGGTTGGAGACTGCAAGCGGGTTATACAGTAGTCTTGCCCCATTGACGCGCAGTTAAATGCGGTCTAGCATGTACCGGTACGGTAGCTGCGGCTTACTAAAAAAAAAAACTAATAAAAAACATAGGCTTGGAAAGCACGGGAGGTATATATGTATGTAAGGGAAAAGGAAGTATGAAGGTGCGTAAGCCGGTAAGTATCCATTCAGAGCACATCCTAATAGCAAGCTCCTGTTAGTGCACTGGTATATATAATCAACATCGATTCTCACTAACATCTACGGTTCTATGGCGCAATCGGTTAGCGCGTCCGGCTGTTATCCTGTCCTGCAAGATAGATGGGTTGCAACCGGGAGGTTGGAAGTTCGAGTCTTCCTAGTACCGACCGTATGATGTTTTTTTTCTCGCTCCGTGTGTTTTTATTTTTGTTGACATTGGTGGGTTGCCAAGGACTTTCACTTCGCGTTTGACTCCATGTTGTGTTTCTCCGCTTTTATCCTCGCATATCGCGTCACGTCGCCGGATTTCACTAACGCAAACGTTAAACTTTTTTCGCTTTATCCTTGCTCTCTCTGATAACAAAAATCAGCACAGTTTTATTTCTTTGAGATAACAACTGATATGTTCGGGTTATACTCCAACTTGGCATCTGGGATATCCTGTCCGCATGCGAGCTCATGCAATTGGTGAGATTTAAGACTGGTTGATGTAGCGCTAGCTGCTCTCTAACTTGGTTAGAAATCACTGTTCGATTAATAGGATTTCCCAACATCCCCGCTTGCATCACCGTGAAGTGCATCTGCAACAATGTCTACCACTGCAGAGGACGAGGGAACTAGTGGAATCTTGGTCACTACGCCTGCCCCAACTGGAGGCTCTTTGCAGCTCCCTTTAGTTGAGCAGCCCTCCGGGAATGATCTACCCCCTGTCTCTGCGTCTATACCTGCATCATCTATCTCGCTTCCGTCGATACGAGAACTCCTGCAGGATGTCGATAACCGTGCGGCAGGCGTAGACGTACGGAAGAGGGAGAAGAGCTTGGTGTCGGCATTGAATGGAATTACGACAGTTAATATCTCTGACTCTGAAGATGGGTCCGATGGGGGGGACGAAGACGAGGATGAAGAGGAGGAGAAGGGGGAGGAGGAGAAGGGGCACGAGAGTGGGAACGTAGAGGATGTGGAGGAAAAGGATGGGGATAAAAATGGGGAGAAGGCTGAGGGAAAGAAGGGGAAGGATGAATATGAAGATGAGGAAGAGGATGAGGATGAGGATGAGGATGAAGATGAAGATGAAGATGAAGATGAGGATGATGGTACAGTGTTCTCTGATACGCCCTGGGCGGTAAGAGTGGAGAAGGCTGTTGAGGGATGTAGGGAGAGGCGGTTTGGGGGAATGAAGACGGTGGGAGAGGGAGTGAATCCTGTTTTGAGGATTAGGGTGAAGGTTGAGGGGAAGAGCGAGGGTAATGTGAAAGGAGAAGGAGACAGGGAGACAATGAAGGAGGAGGAAGAAGAGAGGTGGATTCGCGTGGGGGTACCGGTGGAGGGGGAATTATATGAAAGGGTTATCAGGGGGGTGGCCAATGGGGTTGGTGAAGCAGGGAAAGAGAAAGGGGAGAGGATGGGACCGAGAGTGATACCAAAGGACATGTTACAGGTGGGAAACCCGCGGTGGAACAGCTGGGTGGAGAGTGTCGGGAGGAAGGTTGTTGCTAGCGAATTGAGAATTGGAGATCGAGGCGCTGGTGGGAAGGAAAAGGAGAAGGGGAAATTGGTGGAGGCGCTTCAGGTCGGACTTGAGCTTGTCGGGGTAGTTGTCGATGACGGCAAAGAGGGTGAGGTGCTGAGGTCAGTGTTTAGTGTTTATGTGACCTTATGTACATGGGATTGTGACCAACAACTAACATGTAGGACGGTGAAGTGTCCCGTCCCCAGCGACCCCTCCTCCTTGCTCCACCTACTTCGCCACTCTTCTCGTCGCCCTCCCCTCCTTCAAACCCTCCGTCCTCACAATCACCAAGCCACCGCATCTCGTCACCCCCGAGGACAGCATCACTACCGTCACAGCGCGACAGGACCCCGGAGACGTCCTGTTCGCCACATGGTTCCAAGGGGCGGTAGCCAGTATTTCCACCAGTGATACCAGCGCACCTCCCTTATGCTTTCTCTATCACGTGTATCTGCCACCGCATCTGACACATCTAATAACCTCCGACCCAGCCAGGTTCGGAATTCCCGACGACGCCGCCGCATGCGCGGAGCTCAAAGGCAGCCTTGAAGAGTGGCTCGCCCTCGTCGAAATCGGCGACCAGGACGCCTATCTCCCCTGGGTTCTTGACGTCCTCTATCCCGATTACGCTTCCATACCCTCTGGCGATCCCGTCCGCGGCCACATCGATCGCGTAGTCAAAATTGCATCCTCTCTAGGATTGCACGCCTACTTTGTCGAATTTGAACGAAAAGAGGATGGAGAGGTGGCCGGGTGGGTTGAACCAGAGCGGTTTGAACGTTACTATTATCAGCGATCGCCGTCCTACCAGGACCCCGACACAGATGAGAATGGTAACTTCTTCTTTTGGAATGGGCGGCCAACAGGAGTGACCATTTCCATGCGGAAGTTTTGGGACTTGAGAAGGGGGCAATGCGTGGGTGATAACAAAAAGGACTTGCCAGCTGGTGATTATAATTATGGCAATTGGTATGGATATGGACGCAGCGGAGGGCCCTTGGCTTGTTCGCTAAGTAAAGAGTTACAGTTGGTGCGAAAGCTCAAGTGGACGTCCGCAACCCCGGGATTTACGCAGTACTTTGATAATGAAATAGGCTGGCTGACAAATAAATGGAAGAGGTCTGCGGTTGTGTTTTGGCCGGAAAAGTTGCATGCGGAGACGGTGGTGGAGCTGTTTGAGTGGCGGGCAGCGCATTTTTGTGATGAGCATCTTTTTGATGGGCAAGGTGGAGGAGAGGAGAATGTTTTGGAGCAGAGGGTGGCGTTGGCGGAGAAGATTCTTGCGGAGGTAAAGGGGTCGGAGTCGCATTCGCGCTCGTATGGGGGCGAGGACTTGTATCTGCTGAGGTGTAGAGGAATCCTACTGGACTTGGCGCTGAAGGTGAAGAAGGGGGATCTGTTCCGGAGGATAGTACGGAAGTATGGGCAGCCAGATATAACAGTACCGACGGACCAGCGACGCGTTTACGATGCACTGACGATCTTTACGGATGACCCCACTGTGGTCCAGGAGGTTGGAGAGGGGTATTCGAACGTGGGATATTGGCTGAGATTGCTGAAACCATATCTCGAGCAGGATAAAAGTTTCGTTGAAGATTATGTTCAAAAAGTGGCTAATGCACATATTTGCGACTTTTCTGATTTTCCTGTAAATCGAACGAGCTCGTGGCGCTGCAACTTTTTGAACAGGCATCTAGATGACATCTGGGACAGCTCGAGCACGAACGCGATTCTCCAGTTTGCAATGCAGGTACCGCATATCGAGGCTATGGGGACGATACTTGAGCGGATCGTCAACGCGCAGGTGCCGTTTGCATTGAAAAAAAATGCTTCCGTCGCGGCGGTGTTTGCAGCGGTGATTGCGGGTGTGAAGCGGTTATTGGAGGCGCACAATATATTGCCTACGGCGCACAGGTCGATACCCTACTTCTTCAAGGCGGTCGTACTGAAGTTCGTCTTGCCGTTACTGGGCATCCCGCCGGCTCCAAAAGTCACGAATCTCGCGTTGCCCCCGCATGCGTGCAGTAGTCGGGCCTCTTGTCCCGACTGCAATGAGCTGACACAGTTCTTAATCTCCCCACACCGGGACGAATGGGTGTTTGCTGCGACGGCTCAACAACGTCGACATGTGGAAATTGAGATTAATAATAAGTATCCGAGTAAGTGGAGGCCGTATTTTCGGACGTCAAGCACAAACCGGGGGCAAGGCGAGTGGGATATTTAATTGTGAAGAAGGTGGGGCTGGGCCGGGAGGAGGCGGGAAAGAGGTGGGAAAAGAGGAGGAAGTGGACGGAGGAGGTGGTGGGAGGGGTATTGAAGTTTGGGGAAGGGGACGACGTGTGGACGGAGGTGGTGAAGAGAGGGGTCAAGGTGGGGTGGGATAGGGAGGTGGAAAAAGGGGGGGGAGAATGGTGGAGGAGCGAGGGCGGGGGTGTAGTGACGGGTGGGGGGGAGGGAAAAAGGAAGTTGGAGGGGGCCGAAGAGGGGAGGGTCGAGAAGAGGGCGAGGAGTGATATAAGTGGGGGGAGCACGGGTACAAAAGGGGCGATTGTGGTGATTGACTTGGTGGATTCAGAGGACGAGGGCAAGAAGTGATGGAGGGAATAATTGGTGGAAATGGAAGCGAGGGTTTTATCATTCTATTGATATGGTGGGTTGCTGTATATATTGTTATCCCAGGCATGAGAAACGATTTGGATCTTTACCTTGAAAATATGGATAGATTTAATTCACTATTGGTGATTACATACAGCAGTTACTAGTTTCGGCTTTTTCGTAGGTGATATTTTTTTTCTTTGTGTTTTCCTTTTTTTTTTTTTTGGCTATTGATCTATCCAAGTTAGCCTAACTAGCTCTGGGTCGAGACTGTACCTAGGGGTACTTTATGAATTCATGGTCAGAATAGTTTTTTGGGGGAGGGAGATTCATATATTGTATATCCGAATAACGAAATAACGAATACGTGAAAAATGTTTCTGGAAGTTGCATACACAGAAAAGTATTCGGGGAGGGGAACAATGCTAAGCGTACATTGTCTGGCAAGATAACCGCGAACACTGGTTACGCGAACTACGGTAGGGTGAAGATGTGCATCTCGTATCTGCCTAAGCTTTGAGCCAAACATTTCGCTTCTCTGAAGAGGGCCTTGGCATCAGCTAGAACACAACCTATTGTAGAATACCTGGTTACGACACTACCAGAATACTTAACATACTTGTCACAACATTCGGTTATGACATGCAATTTAATTCGGTATGCGTAGCATTAAATAAAACTGCGTACACGCATAACAAAAAAAAAAAAAAATTCTGAATACACCTTTTATCTATGTTTGGGCGGTGAAAGCTTCCTAGTAGGATGATCTGGCACATGGTGTACATACATTGGCAAGTGCAGATGGTTACTAAGAACAAGTAGAGTACCCATGCATGACATTGCCAATGATCGTGTTACAAGGTGAGGCTGTGAACGAGAACAGCCGCAAAGCTAGCCCCGCTTTCTATTCCATCTTGTATTTCTGATCGCGTGCAGTTGAACAACTGTAGGAAAATTATCTGTCATCAATCATCCCCCTATATATCCATATAATTCAATATTCATTACCGTATTATACCAACTCTTCTGCTTGCATCAAAATGGACCCGCTTTCCATA